AGGCCCAGAGTTCAAGCCCCACGACCGACAAAAAAAATAAAAAAAAATAGATTCACTAGACAAGTGTACCCTCCTCCAGGGCATATTAAAGTTAACAGTGCCAGATACACAAACTAAAATGTTAACCTTTTTTTTTTTCTTTTTTTGTCAGTCATGGACCTGGGTTGCTGTCCCTGAGCTCTTCAGCTCAAGGTGAACCCTCTACCGCTTGAGCCACAATGCCACTTCTAGTTTTCTGAGTGGTTCACCGGCAATAAGAGTCTCATGGCCTTTCCTACCCAGGCTGGCTTTGAACTGTGATCCTCAGATCCAGCCTCCTGAGTAGCTAAAATAACAGGCATGAGCCACTGGCTTCAGACTTAGTTAACCTTCTTTAACTAGCACACTTCCCTAGGTTCAGTCGTGTAGCTAAGTAATCATGGCCTTAATCCTGACGCACATGGGAAAAATACATGAACACTCAATTAATAAAGGTGGAATTAAGTGCTACATAACTTTGAAGACCTACTTCTAAAACAAAAACAACTGTTTATTGTGTTAAGTCAGGCCCAGTGGCTCACACCTGTAAATGCTAGCTAACAGGGAGGTGAAGATTAGGAACTGTTCAAGGCCAGCCTGATATTAAAAAAAAATGAGACACCATCTCAACCAATGGCTGGGGCTGGGCAGGTGCATGCCAGGCTTATGGAGGGAAGCAAGCAATGCAATGGCTGGATGCCAGTGGCTGGAGCCCAGTCATCTCAACCTGAGACACGGGCCAAGAAGACATGACCCTACCAGAAGTCTGGGGGTGAGGGGGGGAAGGGAAGAGGGGGACACTGCTTTTTTTTTGGGGGGGAGAGGAGACTGCTTCTGTGCAGAGAAGACTAAAAAGGAGGGGGGTGGGATTGGAGGCACCTCCTAAAAATGAGCTGTTCTCTCTGGGTTCTAGGTGACACCCCAAAACACACACACACACCATCCCACGGTCACCCCCAAATATCAGGGGTGCTGTCTTCAATTACCTGTCCTGAATTCCATGTGTGGGGTGGGGTGGCAGGTAAAAATGTGAGGGATACACCACCCTGTTTCTCTCAGGGGACTCCTGGCAGGTTGTATCGGGGTAGGGGGATAGGGGGGAGGCTCCAGCCTCTGCCCACCTCCAGCTGCTAGATGATGACACTGGCACTGGAGGCAGCAGGGCCCCACAGTTAGCAGGACAGGCCTTGGAAGAAGGGCTGGACACTGCGACTTCCGGTTGCTCAGCGCTCCAAGCTGTTACTCTCTAGCAAGCTTCGTCTCTACGGTGTCACCGCCCCACCAAGCTGGATACTGGGACTTCCGGTTGCTCCTCGCTCCAGACTCGATCTCTCTAGGAATCCGCGTCTCTATGGTTCCTGGCTTTCTCCTCCTCCTTGAGGGAGGTAAGGCCAAGTTGGAGGCTGAGCTCTACCCTAGGCCTTTGGAGCTTTAGGTTGTGCTAACTGCCTGTGTGGCGGCCTTCTGTGACCAGGAAGGGTTTACTATACTGAATCAGGAGGTTGTTGCTGGTGCCAGAATTAACCAGCTGCATCACCCCACCCTATATATATATATACACACACACACACACACACACACATTTTCCACAGTAGAGAAACATTGTAGCTTCAACCAAAATGTTCATTTTCATTTTTCCCCTCCTTTCATGAAATTTTTGACATACTAATATTGTCAGTTTTGATGATACGTAGGATCCCTAATATTGTCAGTTCTGATGATATGTAGGATCCCTTTTACAACCACTTAAACTTTTAACAAGTTTTACCTACTCAAGAGCTGGTGGCTCACATCAGTAATTATACTTGCTCAGGAGGTTGAGATCCAGAGGATCTTGGTTCAAAGCCAACTGGGAAGAAAAGTCTGAGACTTTTATCTCAAAAATAATCTGGGGAGGCAGGGAGGAGGAGAAGGACTGGCTAAGAACAGAGAGACCCTAACTGTTGCCAGATGGAGTGTGTGTGTGTGTGTGGTGTGTGTCTGTGTGTGTGTGTGTGTGTGTCTAGGCATGCATATTGGTACTAGAACTTGAACTCAGAGCCTGTGCACTGTGTCTTTTTTCACTCAAGTCTGGTGTTCTACCACTTGGGCCAGAGCTCCATGTCTGACTTTTTGTTGATTAATAGGAGAGAAAAGTCTCATGGACTTCCCTGCCCCAGTGAGATGTGGATTTCTATCCTCATGGTCTCAGCCTCCAAACTAACCTCCAGAATTACTGGTGTGAGCTACTGTCTTGGGGCTGTTTTCTTAGGGGCACATTTTTCCCTTGCTATCTAGAAACGTACTAGGAATGCAAGAGTTTAGGTAGCTCACCAGCAGCTCACAACTGAGGGGAAAGAAGAGACACTAAATTTTTGTGTTCTTTTAACCTAAATGAATGTGTGTGTGTGTGTGTTGTGTGTGTATTGTTGGCAACTCTTAAGTCAACTCATCTTAGAATTGCAAGACAAAAGAAAGCCAAGTGCCAGTGGCTCATGTCTGTAATACTAGCTACTCAGGAGGCTGAGATCCGGAGATCGTGGTTCAAAGCCAGCCTGGGCAGGAAAACCTGTTGCACTCTTCCAGAAAACTGGAAATGGCTCAAAATTGTAGACTGCCAACTAGCCATGAGCCAAAGAAGATCAGGAGCCAGGCGCTGGTGGCTCACGCCTATAATCCTACCTACTCAGGAGGCTGAGATCTGAGGATCTCGGTTCAAAGCCAGCCTGGGCAGGAAAGTCCGTGATACTCTTATCTCCAATGAATCACTAGAAAACCGGAAGTGGCGCTGTGGCTTATGCTGTAGAGCGCTCGCCTTGAGCTGAAGAGTGCAGGGACAGCGCCCAAGCCTAGAGTTCAAGCCCCACAACTGACCAAAAAAATAATAATAATATGATCAGGGACAGTGCCCAGGTCCTAAGTTGAAGGTTGAGGAAGGCTGAAGGAGGAGGCCCACAAGTTGAAGGCTAACCTGAGACCCATCTCAAAAACAAAACAAAAGACAGAGGGTTGGTGTTCATGATTTTACTAACAGGCTCTAAAAGGAATTGGTTTGACCATAGTTCAACTCTCACTAAGACATGGCCATAATTCAGTCACTGCTAAGCACTAGAGCAAGGGTATAATTCCAGTACTTTAAGTTCCTAAAGTATGTTCCTTTGTTCCCACTGTCAAGGGAAAATAAGCATGCATTCATTATCTTCAAACTATACCCTAGTTTTCTCTAAATACAAAAGTAGTACAGTTTCATTGTAGAAAATTCAGAAAACATAGAAAAGTGATACGGAAGAAAATAGAGATCATCAACAATTCTATCACTCACAAATAACTGGCTCTACTTTGGGTTACTTCCTTCCTCTTTTCCTACACATAATTTTTTAATTAGAAAAAAAACTGGATCAGTTTCATTGTTTTTCTTTCTTTCATTCACCTGTCGTTTTTTCCCCCCACACAATTTCCCGGTGGCATTAACATATTCTTCAAAAATGTTTACAATGTTGCCGGGCACTGGTGGCTCACACCTGTAATCCTAGCTACTCAGGAGGCTGAGATCTGAGGATTGCTGTTCAAAGCCAGCCTGGGCAAGAAAGTTCATGAGACTTTTATCTCCACTAAACCACTAGAAAACTGGAAGTGGCGCTGTGGCTTAAGTGGTAGAGCACTTGTCTTGAGCTGAAGAGCTGAGGGACAGCGCCCAGGCCCAGAGTTCAAGCCCCAGGACCAACATTTTTTTTCTCTTTACAATGGTTGCAGAAACATTATTAAGAATACACAATCAAGCAAAGTGCCAGTGATTCGCACCTGTCCCCCTAGCTCCTCAGGAGGCTGAGATCTGAGGATCTAGGTTTGAAGCCAGCCAGGGCAGAAAAGTCTGAGGGACTCTTATCTCCAATAAACTACTCAGAAAAAGCTGAAAGTTGCGCTGTGGCTCAAGTGGTAGAATAGTCCCCAGTGAGTTTAAGCCCAGGCTAAGGAAAAGAAAAAGAATAGCCAATCAGCCACCAATTACAGGTGGCTCACACCTGTAATGCTAGCTATTCAGGCAGCTGAGATGTGAGGATCACAGTGTGATGCCAGACATAGGCAGGAAAGTCTCTGAGATTCTCATCTCCAGTGAACCACAAAAAGCAGGAAGTAGAGCTGAGGTTCAAGGGACAGGGCTCTAGCAAAAAAGTTTAGGGGTGGAGCCCAGGCCCTGAGTTCAAGCTTCCAGGACCAGCACAATAGGGACAGAGAGACAGAATAGACAATCATTCAGTTAACCCAGTACTGTTGGAAAATCATTTGGCTTTTTTTCCTTTCCGTTATATCAACGCCAGCAGGACTATCATTCCTTTTGTTCACCTTTGTGTACATATTTTCCCTGCATAGATTCTTTTTTTTTTGTTTGGTCAGTGGTGGGGCTGGAACTCTCGGCCTGAGTGCTGTCCCTCAGCTCTTCAGCTCAAGGCCAGCGCTCTACCAGTTGAGCCACAGCGCCACTTTTGGCTTTCTGGTAGCTTATTGGAGGTAAAAATCTCATGGACTTTCCTTCCTGGGCTGGCCTTGAATCCCAATCCTCAGATCTCAGCCTCCTGAGTAGCTAGGATGACAGGCGTGAGCCATTGGCACCCGGCACAAAACTACTTTTCAGAAAAGAAGCAGTTAGCTGTATGGTTGACAATTGGTTGATTAGGAGACTTCTATGTCCTTGCTATGTTTTCTCTGATGTTGAAAAAGCTGCGAGCTGTAACGGTAGGCTTTCCCACAGAGCTCACACTTGTAAGGCTTCTCCTTCGTGTGGGTCCTCAAATGGAGAATAACTTGGGAAGTCTGTCGGAAAGATTTCCCACATTCATTACAGCTGTAAGGCTTCTCTCCAGTGTGAACTCTCCGATGGTCCAGAAGATTGCGATTGGAAGTAAAGGCTTTGCCACACTCGTTACAGGTGTAAGGTTTCTCTCGGCGATGGAGTCGCTGGTGTTCTTGAAGCATCTTCTTTAAGATGAAGGCTTTCCCACACTCATTGCATTCGTAGGGCTTTTCCCCGCTGTGAAGTCTCTGATGATCTAGAATCTTGGTGTGGGAACCACACGATCGCCCACACTCCTTACACTGGTACACCTTTTTCCCTTGGTGCATTCTGTGATGTTGACTGAGGTTGGAACTCCGGCTAAAGGCTTTCCCACACTCAAGACAACTGTAAGGCTTCTCTCCAGTGTGCACCCTGTGGTGGGAAATAAGTCCTGAGCTCCGACTGAAAGTTTTCCCACACTCCTTGCATGCGTAAGTTCTCTCTTCACTGTGGACTTCTTGGTGTCGGATAAGGTGGGACTTCCCGCTGAATGATTTGCCACACTCGCTGCACCTGTAGGGTTTGAGTCCACTGTGAATTCTCTGATGCACTACTAGGTTGGAGCTGTGACTGAAAGCTTTGCCACACTCCCTGCACTTGTACGGTTTCTCACCAGTGTGGATTCGTTCATGCACAGTAAGGTTGGCACTCTGACTGAAGGGTTTGCCACATTCCGCACACACATACTGTCTCTTATCAACTTGAACTTTCTCCTTTGTTAGAGGACCCTGGTGCTGGCTACCATCTCCTTCAGGTTCTGGATCATTCCCTTCTGTGAGGATGGTTTTGTCTTTCATCACAGGGTATTGGAAATTTCTTGTCTTTCTCCTCATTGTTACCTGATGAAAAGGATGCTCTTTTATTATTATTATTTTTTTTTCAGAGGAGCTGTTGATAATGGTGGCATCCTGAGCATCACGTCTGTGGAATTCTTGCAAGAATACGGTGTGAGGATGGTTTGGTTTGGTTTCGTCTTTCAGGAATAGTGTCAATACCTCCTCAACCCCAGCTTGACCGTTTAACTGAAAAAAAAAATAGATGTTGTACATGTCACCATTGGTGGTTCATGCCTGTAATCTTAGCTACTCAGGAGGCTGAGATCTGAAGATCATGGTTCAAAGCCAGCCCAGGCAGGAAAATCCCCAAGACTCTGATCTCCAATAAACTACCAGAAAACTGGAAGTGGCACTATGGCTCAAGTGGTAGAGTGCTCACCTTGAGCTGAAGAGCTGAGGGACAGTGCCCAGGCCCAGAGTTCAAGCCCCATGCCCCAAAACAAAAAAAAATCAACTATAATCTGGCCTCTACTATGTGAAATGACTAATCTCCAGATGAGTTTGGCTTGTAGTTGAGTTGGCTTTCTTTCTTTCTCTCTTTCGTTCTCTCTCTCTCTCTCTCTCTCTCTCTTTCTCTTTCTGTCGTCAACAGCTTGAAGTCAGGGCCTGGGCACTGTCCCTGGGCTTTTTTTGCTCAAAGTTAAGGCTCTACCACTTTGAGTCACAGCTCCACTTCTGTTTTTCTGGTAGTTCATTCGACATAAGTGCCTCATGGACTTTCCTGCCTGGGCTAGCTTTGAACCACCAAGCTCAAATCTCAGACTCCAGAGTAGCTAGGAATACAGACGTGAGCCACCAGTGCCTGGCTAGCTGATCTATTTTCTTATTTGGAGTGATATAGTGGCTGGCACCTAATAGACACTCAAAATTGTTCTATAGAAGAGCAAGCACATTCTGTCTTAGAATATGAGCTAAGAATTCTAGAAACCCTCTAGGTACAGCTAAACCACCTTGGTTTGCCCCTGTGTATTCTCAGGGCCTGGGCACTGTATCTGAGCTTCTTTTGCTCAAGGGTAGCACTCTACCACTAGAGCCACAGCACCACTTCAGGCTTATGTGGTACTGTAGAATCAAACCTAGGGCTTCATGCATACTAGGCAAGCACTCTACCACTAAGCCACATTCCCAGCCCTCCTCCTCATTATTTATTTATGTCATTTGTGGGGCTTGAACTCTGGACCTGGATGCTGTGAGCTACTGATGTCTGGCTATCCACATTATTTTAAAAGTGATTAATAAAAATTTAATAGGATCACAGTTTGAAGCCAAGCAGGGCAAAAAAGTCCCCATGAGACTTTTCTCTCCAATTAACCACTCAAAATCCAGAAGTGAGCCGGGAGCTGGTGGCTCACACCTGTAATCCTAGCTACTCAGGAAGCTGAGATCTGAGAATCGTGGTTCAAAGCCAGCCCGGGCAGGAGAGACCGTGAGACTCCTATCTCCAATAAACCACCAGAAAACCAGAAGTGGCGCTGTAGCTCAAGTGGCAGAGTGCTTGCCTTGAGCTGAAGAGCTGAGGGACAACGCCCAGGCCCAAAGTTCAAGCCCCACCACTGACAAAAAAAAATCCAGAAGTGGTGCTGTGGCCCAAGTGGTAGAGTGCTAGCCTCAAACACACTGAAGCTCAGGGACAGCAGCCAGGTCCTGAGTTCAAGCCCCATAACAGACTAAAAAAATTCATTTATAGACTTATGATCTACAACCTGGTATTTCTGATTTATGTATAACTTGTACAATGAAGCTGGGCACCAGTGGCTCATCCAAGGAATGAGAAATATTTGCTTTCAGTCCTTGACCCCTCATCCTTTAGCAAGTAGGAGTCCTGTCTCAAGACTAATTTCACAGTCTAACTCTCACCTGTTCAGCAAAGATGATTTGTATGGCAGCAACTTCACTCCAAAGGATCTACTCAGCTCATTTTGCCTGGTTTCCTCTTTAGATTCAATGAGGAAGCTCCTAGTACAGTCGAGAATTGCTGTTGACAGATACGAATGATGAGTTCTCTTAGGTCTCAACTCTAAGCAGATATTCAGACAATATCCATTCTAATTTCTTGTCCTTAAGAATTGTGGATGGGCGCCGTGGCTCATGCCTGTAATTCCAGCTGCTCAGGAGGCTGAGATTTGTGGAATGCAGTTTGAAGCCAGCCGAGGCAGGAAAGTCCATGAGAGAGACCTACCTCCAACTGATCATAGGAAAAAACTGCAATTGGCTCTGTGGCTCAAGTGGTAGAGTGCTAGTCCTTGAGCAAACGCTAAAGGACTAAAGAGCTAAAGTAACTCCATTGTGAGATTAACCCCACCAACCTGTAGCTGTGCTGCCCTTAAATTAACCCCAAAAGAGAAAAAAAAAAAACCTCAAGTTGCTACCAACCCTGCACACCCTTAAGAAACAGAGCAATTGCCCAAGTGTTCCATCAGAAAAAGAGAAGTGTGGTCAGGGTGGACGCAAACCTCAATACTATGCAATTTTTAACCAATCATGTAACTGCTTGTGTGGAAACCCCCTGAACTTGTGAACTTGTTTGCTCAATACTATAAAAGCTATGCTGATTTTGTGCTCAGGGTCTTTTAGTGTCACCGGTTACTGAGTGCACGGAGGACCAAGCTCAAGCTTGTGATAAACGACTCTTTGCTGTTTGCATTGCTCATGGTCTCTGGTGGTCTGTGAGGGGGCATCTGAAATCTGGTAGTTCATCTGGGGGCTCATCCGGGATGCCCCCCTCCAGAAGCTCACCCAGATGCCTGATCAGCAAGTCGTCTAGCCGGCTGGTAAGTAGGGGTGCAGCTGCTTCATGTGAAATGTTTTGTGTTTGATTAGCAAGTAGGGTTTTGTGACTGGCAAGAAACCTATAAGGTCACCAGTGGGCCGGTGGAAGACGTTCTCCGGACCCTTAGGGGAAGCCACCTCCCTGGTGGGGATGCTCCGGCCTCCGCCACTGCGGGTAAAGGGTGGATTCGAACTCGAGTCTCGGCGCACATGCTGTCCCTGTCTTGTCTGTATTTGTCGTTCTGATTCAGTGCCTCTTTTTCTTTGTTCATCTTACTTTTATTTTCAGATCAAAGGGCATCCTGGAGTCCCCCAAAACGGGTGGCCAGTGGCTTCTTTCAACCCAGCCACTCTCCCGCTTTATTTAATCCTTTTGGAATTCCAGGACGACATGAAGAGTCGATTTATTCCCCAGAAGACCTCTTTCTGTGCGCTGGAATCCCCAACCCGAGCCAGCGCCGACTTTATCAATTCCTTCTCAGGTGCCTATTCCTTTCAGCAGTTTCCTCCTTGGGCTGGGCCCTTTTTCACTTTGAAATGGGGCAGGACCAGAGTACTCCCTTGGCTCTCCTGACTAATCATTTTAAGGATGCTAAAGACAGGGCCCACAATTTGAGTTTGGAAATCAAGAAAGGCAAGTTGATCACTCTTTGTCGGTCAGAATGGCCGGCTGTTGAGATTGGATGGCCCCCAGAGGGCACCTTTAACCTGCCAATCACTCAGAAGGTAAAGCATCAAATATTTTTGCCTGGAAAACGGGGACACCCAGATCAGATTCCTTATATCCTGGTGTGGGAAGATCTGGTAGAAACTCCCCACCCTCCGCAGGTGGATATCCCCCTTCCTGTTCCCCACTCCTGGCCCATCCACCATATTGACCCTAAAAGGCCCACAGGTGCCTAGTCCATCAGCGCCTCCTCCTGTTCTGATGGATGAAGATCCGAATCTCCTCTTCCTCAATACTCCACCCCCACTTAACCCTACCCCGCAGTCCCCGGCAGCGCCTCTGGCCCCCAAGGAGGCAACAGTGGCAGCAGGGTGGGGGGGGGAGATAGAGGGGAAGACTTAGAGGGCCCTGCCGGGAGGATGCGAGGTCGCACCCTTAGAACTGCCAGTCCGCATCCTCTGGACTCGACCATAACCTTGCCGCTTCAGGAGATCAGACCACCCGATGGCAAAGGGAACCCGAGACTCCAATACTGGCCCTTTTCCACCAGTGCTTTATATCATTGGAAGTCCCAAAATGCAAAATTTTCAGAGAACCCTAAAGATTTGATTACTCTTTTAGATAGTGTAATGTTTACTCACCAGCCTACCTAGGATGACTGCCAGCAGTTGCTCCGGATCCTGTTTACCACTGACGAAAGAGAGAGGATCCAGGCAGAGGCCCAGAAACTAGTCCCAGGAGATAACGGGCAGCTCACCCTTAATCCTGATCTAATTAATGCTTCCTTCCCCTTGACCAGGCCCTCCAGACAATTGGGATTACAATATGGCTACAGGTAGGGAGAGGCTTCGGGTCTATCGCCAGACTCTAATGGCGGATCTCCGGGCAGCTGCTTGCAAGCCCACTAATTTGGCCAAAGTATCTTCAATAATGCAGGAAAGGAATGAGTCCCCCTTTAGACAGTACACCCCCATGGATCCAGGTGCCCCCGAAAATCAGGCTGCAGTAGTCATGTCCTTTGTTAACCAGGCAGCCCCAGATATTAAAAGGAAACTACAAAAGCTTGAGGACTTGGAGGGTAAGAATATTCAGGACTTAGTGAGAATAGACCCAAAAGTATACAATAATAGAGATGCTCTGGAAGAAAAGCAAGTACGGGCTACCAACAAGACCCCAGAGACAGGTAGGAGGCAGAGGCCGAGGACTAGGGCCAAACCAGTGCACCTTTTGCTGTGAGACCGGACATTGGGCTAAAGAATGTCCCAAAAGAAAAGAACAGAGATCCAGACAGTGCCCCCCCAGACCAATGTTAATGGTCGCACCCCTGAATGAAGACTAGGGGCAACGGGGTTCGGGGCTCCCCTCTCCGAACCCGGGGTAACTCTTAAGGTGGAGGGGACTCCGGTAGACTTTCTAGTTGACGTGGGGGCTCAGCATTCAGCCTTGATTGAGCTTAGTGGAAAGGTTTCTGACGATGCTGCATGGGTACAACGAGTTACCAGAGTAAAGAGATACCCGTGGACCACGAAAAGAACTGTTGACCTTGGGAATGGGAGAGTGA